GTAGTAGAGAGAACGCAGCTAGTCCATTGTGTAGAGTTGCACTAAGAAAACAAGAAAAAAACACAATAAAACATATACTGATGTATGTATGTTAAATACTCAGTTTTAGGACTGATCTGGCGACATTCAGTGTATATTAAATACTCATTCTTTAGGACTGATCTGGCGACATTCAGTGCATGTTAAATACTCATTTTTTAGGACTGATCTGGCGACATTCAGTGTATGTTAAATACTCATTTTTTAGGACTGATCTGGCGACATTCAGTGTATGTTAAATACTCATTCTTTAGGACTGATCTGGCGACATTCAGTGTATATTAAGTATCCATTTTTTAGGATTCATCTGGCGACATTCAGTGTATTTTAAATACCCATTTTTAGGACTGATCTGGCGACATTCATTGATATTCATTTATAATGTTTATAGTATCAAGTATAGCATAAGAAAACTTTTCCTTGTTCTTTACGTGAACAACTTTGACTTCTTTCACAGACTGGGAATTTCTAAAATCGCCTCCTTTAATCCGGCGAAAAACAAAAACTACGTGATTTTTATAATGTTGCTTTATTATAACCATAATAGGATGTCATTACTATTTTATAGCATGCTAAAATAAGTTCTCGTGTAAAGCTGCATTTCGTGCATCCCACTTTTTCTTTTGTTCTTCCTCGTTGTAAGCCACGGGGTGGAGTAAAGAGCGTTTAGTTAATGGGCTCTATTCAAACAGACAGTAATGTTCTGTCATTTTATGTGTTTCAGCTGTAAGCTTTCTCTGGTTAATTCTTTTCCTGTTAGGAAGTGTTAACATTCTCCAGGGACATCATTGTTTTATGCATTTGTTATGTATTATGTGATATTATACATCCAGAAACACAGAAACTTTGAAAATTCACATGTATAGCTTAGACATGGCGCTCAATCTAGTATTTAATAAAAGTAGCAGGTCTAATATACAAGATTGTGATCGTAAAGAAGAAGGTAAGGTCAAAATGTTTGCCATGTTGTCCTGTCTTGTTCAGGAATAAAGGTATTTTCTTTCCTTTCCTGCCTTTATCCGTAAAGAAAACAGGTGCTACAGTTTTCTTGTTGCTTTTTCTTTTTTTTTACTGGTGTACATATACCATTGCATGTGAAGAACAATAATAGGTTCTACCACTCTACTGCGAAGAAAATAGTCCAAGGAATTATAGGTATTTAAACGATTTAGCATTTTGCAAAAAAAATAAAGTTTCTTTTTGTCATCATTACTTGAGGTTGTGTATCCTTATTTATTTCAACCCTGTATGTGATTCTTTCAGTTATTGTTCGTCATATAGATAAAACATTAGTTTTATATGACGCAACAGTGCGGAAAAACCAGAGTACACACACACAAACAAAAATATCCATAATAAAAATGGAATAATACAACTTCTATGTCATTTTTTATTGAAGCCTTTTACGATACATACTTCATCAGTCTGCACTGAATAAAGTAAGAAAAATATTAAATATTTCATGATAGTATAGTAAATAGCCCTCTTTTTGTAATAAAATTTAATATCTTGATGCTACTTTACGAAGTGCCCCCAGTGGCACAGCGGTATGTCTGCAAACTTACAACGCTACAAACCGGGTTTTGATACACCTGGTGGGCAGAGTACAGATAGCCCCTTGTGTAGCTTTGTACTTAACTACAAACAAACAGAACTTTACGAAGCAGTGGGGCCATCTATGTAGCGACACAAACATGTGTGTTTATTGTAATGTCCATTTCTCAAGTAAAATAACTTTGTTAAAGAAACATGTTAATTCCACTTAGCTGATTTAAACATGTTGCTAGGATATACCTGTGAAAAAATGATAGACTCTGAATAATGTTTCGACAACTGACGCCCTATAGTCTGTACAACCGTTTTAGTGTCAGAATTTCTACAAAGAGCCTACGATTCAATACTGTAAATTGTTATAGAGGGATTTATAAGTATATTATTTTGGTTTGGTGTTTGTCAGAGAGCTCAGTAGATCACATAAAGATGATAGAACTGAATGTCAAATTTACGAAAAGCAAAAGCAAAATAACATGAACACTGTCTATTTCTTTTTTATGATAAAATTCTTATAATATACAAAAAAATCTGAAGTGAAACTTATACGGTACAATATCTAATCCTTTAATATAAAAACTGTAAAATATTTTATTTCGTAATCATGAAATTGGTTCTAGATGGGCGCGGAATCGATTCAAGGTGCACATTCTGTTGCCACAAAAACGCGCTCAGCACTTTAGGGCTATGGACGCGCTATAAGAGTGACGGTAAGATCCACTATTCGTTCAGATAAGAGTAGCCCAAGAGTTGAAGGTGGATGTTGTTAACTAGGTGCCTTCCCTCTAAAGTCTAAACTATCAGTTCCAAACCAGAACGGTTGTGCACATATAGCCCTTTGTGTAGCTCTTCGCGAAACTTCTGAAAGCTAACAAAGACAACGAACAGCGGCACATTAGAAAGGATGATGTGGTGAAATACGAACATAAATTGTTAAACTATTAAAATTCACACCTTGATCCCAATGTATCTACCTATTCTAAAGTAGATGCTATTGTTCTACCGATTTATCAGTTATGGGTGTGCGGCCTTGATCCCAATGTATCTACCTATTCTAAAGTAGATGCTATTGTTCTTACCATTGAACATACCTACAGAAGTACAACCAATTAAATAGCATCTGGAAGTTGGCTATTAGACGTGGCGTTACCCTGGTTGTCCTCTAATTGTATCATGTAATGCACATGGAATCTCCTGTATCAGAGCCCTTGGGATCACTTGTTTTGTCAGAGCATGTGCTCCATCTTTTCCTGGACTATAGAAGTGGTAAAGTACTTCCCATTGTACTTCAATTTCTAATATAACTGACCATGTCCGTGCTATATTCACAACTCTGTAGTGGTTTAGCTTGGCCGTTAAATAGAAATTAGCGCCGATGCTACAGCATGCTGGGTTCTTTGACTGCTCTTCTCGTGGCTATTTATTATCCAACTTCGCTGGGCTGTTATTCACGGCATCTACTCTGCTGTGAGGTCTCTTTGTCAATGAGGTGATTTTAACTTTCACCACAGCTTTATGTCATATGTAAGAACATTTTTACGAGAAAGTTAGTCTAAGTTTCCAATTTATTGTACTTCTATTCTTTCAGCATTGTTATTCAGCGTGCAATCATTATTTCTGGTTAGTTGAAATTCATTAACCACTTAATGATACTTTATCTGCCCTTGCAGTAAACTCTCGTTTTTTTTAAATAGTGTTGCAAGTGATTAACAAATATGAAAAATGTTGTGCAGTATATGAGAGTTAGTAAAAATTAGCGTATGACTGCACAACTCTAATTCCGCTAACACTAGCAACCATATCCAATATATATGAACAATCTGGTCTTGGATAAATTAACAAATGTATTTTCACTAAAGCTTCCTTCAGTTTTTGGAACCACTTTTCATAGTTCAATCGTGTATTAGCTAGGACTGCTATTTCCAAGTAATATTTCACAAAGCACCGATAACATGATTCAAAATAAGGAAACTTTTATGTTCTCTCGTATTGCAGGCTGGTGTCAGCCTTTTAATCCTAAAATTATAAATGGGATCAAGATCTCTTCGGCTTTCTAAACAAATTTGTCTAAACTATTTATGCGTCAAATCGCTTCTGTATCCAGGAAGTTATTGGTCACTTTATTCCTGATAACAACAAGCCACACAAAACATTCAAGCTGTCAAATTCCATTAATTACAGCTGGGATTTCCTATGTATTTACAGTGTTTGTTAAAACAGACAAAAACATAATACTATCCAATATAATTCGATATTTGGACCCTACTTTTAGTGAACAGTAAATAAATAAGTCGGTAATTTAAGGGTTAATTCTTCAATTTTAGGCACAAAGCCGGATTCTAGCGTTGTAAGTCCGTTGTGCCACTGGGGGACTGACAAGATAAAACCTTGTAATGGGCGGCTGACACTACAAAAAAATCACAGTACTTACAAAGGGGCAGTAATTGGCAACCTTATAACGTTTATACCGAATACACTCTCCCAATAATGCAGCCAATCAGGTGTAGGAAATCTTGGTCTTTACGCCATCTTACATGCCAACATACTAACATAAATGAGGAGTTATTTCACAAAGAAGAAGAAGAAGGTGTATACCCTTCAAGTTAAGGAGTGAAGGTGTATACCCTCCAAGTTAAGGAGTGAAGGTGTATACCCTTCAAGTTAAGGAGTGAAGGTGTATACCCTTCAAGTTAAGGAGTGAAGGTGTATACCCTCCAAGTTAAGGAGTGAAGGTGTATACCCTCCAAGTTAAGGAGTAAGCAGCCAGCAAAAATACGAGGAGGACTTAGCAACCATAAGATGATAGTCCCAGATCTGTACAACAGATGTTAACTTGCAGGATGTACATTCCACACCATACAGGAAGTAAAGTGTATATAATTTAGAAATATTATTTCACATACACAAACACACATATAAATATATATAGAAACTTAGTACTTAAACAGTTGAGCAACAAAATTAACTTCAAAAGGAAATCTTGAGTTAAAAGTAGTAAATCCAAACCTGCGTTGGACGACATTTTAATGAACAAAACAGGCCCAAAAAAAAAGAAGAAGAAACTGAAGACGTGGCACAAATTAAAAGGATCCCCAGGGTATGTGGATGTGAGGGTATTCAGTTTTAGAGGGCCGGATTTCTGATGATAAATCATAACATATTTATCTTTGATTGTCGTCTTTAATTATCACACATAGCCGTAACAAAACATGTTAGTATAACATGATTATGTACAATTGTATGATCATAGTGTTTGCAATATTGTTTATTTTTCACGACTAATTCACATTAAATGTAAGCATTTGAAAATTATAACATTATTAATTAATTATTCTATATTATTTATTATATATACGCAATTTCTTGACAACAATAACAACGATTCGCTGAATTGGATCGAAAAGGTATTAATGCTAATTTTTTCGTCGTTTTTGCTAGTTCTTCGAAATGACTTTCGTGCCAGTCCTAAGAGTACACGAGTCGTAGTTGGAGAAACGGTGATGTTGGAATGCATACCTCCCAGAGGCCATCCGGAACCTAAGGTGTCATGGGAAAAAAACGGACGACTAATAAGTGTTGGAACGGGCCGGATTAGAATGGTGGGTCCGGGTAATCTTGTCCTGGAAAATGTTCGACAAGATGATGAAGGACGATACAGGTGCAAAGCGAAGAACATGGTCGGGGTGCGCGAATCACCTGTAGCCGTCTTAACCGTGAACGGTAAGTAATGGTTCTAGAAACACCTGTAGCCGTCTTAACTGTGAACGGTAAGTAATGGTGCTAGAAACACCTGTAGCCGTCTTAACCGTGAACGGTAAGTAATGGTGCTAGAAACACCTGTAGCCGTCTTGACCGTGAACGGTAAATAATGGTGCTAGAAATACCTGTAGCCGTCTTAACCGTAAACGGTAAGTAATGGTGCGAGAAACACCTATAGCCGTCTTAACCGTGAACGGTAAGTAGTGGTGCGAGAAACACCTATAGCCGTCTTAACAGTGAACGGTAAGTAATGGTGCGAGAAACACCTGTAGCCGTCTTAACCGTGAACGGTAAGTAATGGTGCTAGAATCACCTGTAGCTGTCTTAACCGTGAACGGTAAGTAATGATGCGAAAAACACCTATAGCTGTCTTAACCGTGAACGGTAAGTAATGGTGCTAGAAACACCTGTAGCTGTCTTAACCGTGAACGGTAAGTAATGGTGCTAGAATCACCTGTAGCTGTCTTAACCGTGAACGGTAAGTAATGGTGCGAGAAACACCTGTAGCCGTCTTAACCGTGAACGGTAAGTAATGACCTTTACGTATCATTGTTAGTTACATTAACTGTAGAGCAAACACCGATAAATAAAGTCACCAATAAGATCCGAGTAATATAGGGATAAAGATGTACCGTCAGTAGTTAAATAATGACAAAATGGGTTGTTCTAGGTTTAATTTAAGTATTTCAATCGCAGCAAGTGTGTAAAAATATAGTCATTGTTATTTCAAGAAAGGCATGAAAGTATTTTCACTAAAAGATTGTAAGAGTGATATAAACAGAAGAACCAAGTGATAATGCAACCACGTGCGTTAAACTATTCTCACTTTCGTACTGGCAAAACGTACAGAATGAAAAATGCAAGTTAAGTAACATAAGCCATCAAAGTTCGCTTTATTTTATGAGGAATGGTAATAGTAAACTCTTTACAGATTGTGCTTGCTGAGGGTTTTATATCTTTTTCCCAATCATGGCTTTCAGTCAGAACGTTCAGTCAAATATTAACTTTTATCGTGTTTGGTTCTTTGTAGGATATCGCACAAAGTTATACAAGGACTATCTGCACTATCCGTTACTAATTTCGAAGTGATAGAGCTAGTCAACATCACCCACCGCCAACTTTTTGGGTGCTCTTGTCAATCGAATAATGGATTTGACCGTCACTATTATAACGCATCCACGGCCCCAAAGTGCGGAACGCAATTCTTTTATTTTTGGTGGTAACGGGACGCAAACCATAAAACCTGAGTTCCATGATGCATCGTGTCAATCACTGAACCGCGATCGACCCTTTTATTGTGTTATTGCAGTAAATATAAGCCGTAAACTCTCTCCAAGAAAATGTACACTTTGAACAACTTAAAATTCAAGTGTTATCGAAAGTATGGGGAAATGGTGTTACATTGCGCTAAATTTTCTGTACATTACAAATCATATTTTTTTCGTTACTTAACAAATTTATATGAGCCTTATAGAGTTACTTAATGTAATAAATTATGTAATATGAAACCGTGTAAAAAAATGGGTGTGCTAATCATACATTCTTGATGGCAATACTAATTCAAGTTATTGAACAGCAATATATACCTACGTAGTAATTTAACTTTATTAGCAGAGAAGAAACAGATGACAAAAACGATGAATTAGCATGAATTCGACCACGAACCCATTGTTCCTATAGGAAGACTTCCAGCACATGGGGGGCCATGTGATCTATCAGTTAGATGTCGTTCCTTGGTGGAAATTAATTCTTGGTATTTTGTTATTTGCTACATAGGGAGCGACTTGAAATTTTGTTGTTGTTTTTTTATTTGAAAGAGGCATTTTACAAAAAAGGAAGATTGCCGACTACATTCTTTAATGCCCTGTAATATTGCTAGATCATATTGATTATGGGATTGCGTGCTGGATAGAAGAAATAACATAGTATGCTATGCAATGGCCAAGAAAGTAATCTTCCCAGAATCCAATTCCGCAAACCTGCTTTTCGAAACATTATTTTGATCTACCAATAATTTTTTATATATAAATTCGCTTCCATAGAATCCAATCTGTTTCTTTGCCGCTAGTGTGCTGTCAAGCCAGTCCACAACAACAACAACAAATTATTGAGAAAAATACAATATTTCAGAAGACAAAACAGCCTATAACAAAACTCGTAAAAAAAGGAAATAAACATTTGACGTTTTAAAAACAAATTTCTAGCTTTCATGCTGAAACATGTATAATGTGTTGTGTATGTATAAACTATGTTTCTTAATTCATGTATACCGGTCAGTAAGTGTGTCTTGATCAAGTTGTACAAGTTAAAATTAAAAACGTGCTCATAAAAAGGATCAGGTCCCAAATTGAGTCATGATGAAAACATATGTGAACATGATAATTATCATTAATTAACCGGTAATGGAACAAAGTAGTGTAAAACTTCATTTATTTATTTTTTCAAAATTGAATGACATAAAGTAGTCGATTGACAACAAGTTTATGGTAATCACAAATACAAACAGTTTAACAGCACAACTTTAACTTTTATAGCCCGTTTTTTGTTGAATTGTGAAGTGGGCCCGTTTTGTGTTGAATTGTGAAGTGGGCCCGTTTTGTGTTGAACTGTGAAGTGGGCCCATTTTGTGTTCACCTGTGAAGTGGGCCCGTTTTTTGTTGAACTGTGAAGTGGGCCCGTTTTGTGTTGAACTGTGTAGTGGACCCGTTTTGAGTTAAGCTAATTCATCTTTAGAACTTACATTACTTGTTAGTTATAATTATGTCTTAGAATATCGTAGTAACTAAAGTACCACCCTGTTTCCTAAGAAAAATAAATATTGAAGATGTTTTACTCAGCAATGCCTTATCCTATACAATGTTTTTTTAAATATGATTATTATTTTGACTCATTAGCATATACATGAATATCAGTTACGTTGGTATTAAACTTAGAGCTATAGAACAAAGGTTCTTGTGGCCGCAAAAACAAAACAAAAACTTGCTAGAGGCCGTATGTGCGTTACAAGAGTAACGTTTGGAGTAGCTGAATGGGTGACGGTGGGTGTCGTTAATTAGCTGCCTTCCCGCTATCGGTTCAAAATTAGGGACGGCTAGTGCAGATAGCTCTTTTGTAGCTTTACGTGAATACCGGAGAGAAGCAGTTATTCCGTTTCTTTCTGGAACCGCTGTTGCTTTAAAAACAAGTTTCCCAAAAATAATTTAGTTCTAAGATTTTTCTATTCGAAACCGGTTTGTAATGTAACGGGTAAATAAATGTTGTCTCAAGCAAAAACCTTCTTTTTCAGTATGTGTTTGAGGATAAATTTAGTACAGCTTCTATAATAGTGATATAATTAAAGTGTATAACACTGTTCTTTCAAGTTTCAACTTATATATATGAAAACATTATAACTTTAAAATTATTTAAAGGTCAAACTTGTTTCAACTTCTAATTTGTTTAAAATAAAAAACAAATTATTAATCAATCTTATAAATTATCAGCCCCCCAAAAACGTATATATATATTAAACTTTTTTTTCGCTCCACAGTAGCTGTCTTCCCCTTTTACCAAATTACACGTAGCTATAAAACTAATCAATGACAGCCACTTCTTACCCGTTTACCAAATTACACGTAGCTGTAAGGCTAATCAACGACAGCCACTTCTTACCCGTTTACCAAATTACACGTAGCTGTAAACTAATCAACGACAGCCACTTCTTACCCGTTTACCAAATTACACGTAGCTGTAAA